TGGCGAGCCGTGGGTTGGCCACAGCTGGACTAGTCAACTGTCCTTTCAACTATCTGATAAGCATTTGCTTATCGGATAGTGGACTAGTCTTTCACATCCATAGTCCCGAATGAGGTGATTTGCCAGACCAGGGAAGGTCCCTCCCCTGATGGCCCATGCTGTCACCGGGTTAGGGCTCCAGCCTGCCCCTGCTGCTGCCCCAACTCCCTGGGGCTCTTCAGGTGCCACCGACCCCGCTGCTGCCAGAGCCAGAGTACTATGGCCAGAGCTCTGCAGCCGTCTGTCTCTGCAGCCAGGGCCAGAGCTTCCTGGCTGCTACTGGGGCTGGAGCTCCTGGGCTGTTGGAGCCAGATCGGGGCCGGGGCTAGAGCTCTGCGTCTGGGGTCAGGGCTCCCTGGCCGCTGCTGGGGGTAGAGCTCCCAGGCTGTGGCCAGAGCTCCACGGATGCTGCTGGGCTGGAACTCCCAGCTGCTGGGACCAAGGAGCTCCACCAGGGCCAGAACTCCCCTCCAGGCTGTCTATCCTCTGCCTCCCAGCCGCCCACCCCCCCCTATTACCCCGCACCCACACACATTGGGCTCCCAGCTGAGTCATTGGTACCCCCTGTGGCGTGCCTGCTGTGATCCAGTTCCACTGATGTTGACAGACCAGGAAGTCCTGGTTAAGGGAGGAACAACCCATATATATTTTGAAGATATTTTATGGATTTGTTAGTGCAAGTAAAGTCATACTTTGCAATTACCTACAGATATCAAATTTTTGCATAAATAATCTTTCCACGTAAATTAACTGGATGCACTATTTTTTTACATCAGAATATGCTGGATGAAAGGTTTAAATCATTTTTGGTTTTCATCAGAAAAAAGTCATGACTTATGACTAGAGTCCATAAATATTTGCTAACAGAATTAAGATCAAGCTGTCTATTCAACTGTCATTTTAGTGCAAAGAAAATTTTTACTCTTACAAATCACAAAATAATTCAAATTAATTACAGAAAGAGTAATGCAAGCTTTACATCTGAATCAGAAACTCATTGTACGTATGGTAATTATTCAATAAAATGAATAATGTTTGAAGTTGAAATTCTACAAATTTAAAACTGTTCTTTTACTTCCCTTTTGCAAGCACATTAATAAAAAATTCTATTACATATATGCAATTTCTTGAACTTTCCCATAAATGTAATCTACGCAAACTGACTTTGCCCAGTCAACAATGGGCCTTACCTGCTAGTTAATGCATACATTAAAGTCTATATTATTATTATTTATTACGTTAAACATGTTTGTAATTGATAATGGTGAAGTTGCTTAAGCAGTTAGTCGAATCATGTATTCCACAATAAGGTTCTTGTGAAAACATATTTGGATATATGTGTACATACTGAATATAAGAGCTTTTAGCATGATGGCTAACACGTCTTGCATTCAATGGTTCCTGTGTATACTGATAATGCCCAGCTTTTTGGCATTGCAACCAGGAGAACTAGCGGTAGAATTTTAGAAGTACACTATGCACTATGAAGTCATAGCACAGAACATCTGGAAAAGGGGAATCTTGTTATCCTATGAATTGCATGTTCCTTATGTGGGGTGACAATTTCATGATAAAACCAGCTTATAGCAAGCAGTCTTTCATTGTAAACTGACTTCTCTGTCCAATCTGTTGCCTCTGCACAGTCTTGTATATTTTCATCAAGCTGTCAAAAAGCCATCTTTTAGCATTTGGTGAAAAAACAAACTATACCCAGGCATATAAATGTATGTATCTTGCTTGCTTTTTTTCTTTTTTCAGTCTGATTGGGCCATTTCTGCATCTGTTAATGAAGGAAGTTATACACCCAGAGAGTAATGCTCCAAATGGGATTAAATTCCATTTTATTGACATCTATCTGGAAGAACTGGCTAAAGTTGGAGCCAAGGAGGTAGAATACACATTGTAACTTTCTTTGTGATTAGTATTTCTATATTACACAGCTATCTTTTATCAGTGTTTTTAAATCCTAGTTTGTTATATTTAATTGTTTTAAATATAGCTTATCGACATTGAAGAAATTTCTAAAATCCTCTTTACTTATCACTGTTTGTTCGGCTATGTTTTGCATTTCTTTGAGCTTAGACAAGGAATATACATTGGTCACTTTCCAATTCTCACGCTCTGGTACAAATAGTCCAATTTTAGATGGCAAATATAACGAAGAAATCTCTGTCTGACTCCTACCCTCTTTTTTTTCTTTGGAGAAAAAAAAATGTTGTAATTTCTCTTGGGACTTTTTAAATTTTAATCACTCTTTTCTTGCATACAAATTCACTTTGAGCCCATAATTGACCTGGTCTTTTAATCACATACGTTGTAGAGGTTTAGAAATCTAATTTTAAAACTGTCTTCAATGACTGGATTTGGATGTGTGCATTTTTATAGATTACCCCATAATCTATAAAAATGCACACTTGCCAGGTACCCAACAATATCTTAATTTAGTTTGCTTGTCAGTGCTTTTGATATTGACCTTCCTCTGTTTTGCTTACATGCTATTGGCTTTTGCAAAGCAGTAGAATTTTACAGCAGTTTAAAGTCTGGTTCTACAGCAGCTACTGTGAAATTCTGCTGCAGGAATATGAATTCAGCATTTCATTATGACTTGAAATCCCTCCCCACAGTGTCTCTTCTTAGCCTGATGGGGAGGGGTCTCTGCAGACTCCATATACTAATTTGCAGCCTTTACTTGCTAGTCCATATATGATGCTGCTGGCAAATCCTCTCCTGGTAGCTATTTTCCTTTTCTTTCTAACCGACATGGTGTGCCTATTAGTTTTGTAGCAGTGCTGTGTAAAGAGGAGCCAGCAGAATGCAAGGGGTGACCTAGCAGTCAGTTCTGTTGGGAGGTGTAGGCAACATGGGGGTAGGGGAACCTTCCATAACAGAAGACAGTGTCTACAATCAGGGCCCTAATTCAGCAACTGTTTCTCCAGTCCCAGCATTTGCATAGGTTCATAAGGATTTTGATTGGAACTTTGAGAACTGTGCAGGGCAAGGCTACTCAACACGCGGCCCATTTGTTTGCAGCCCCCAGTACAGTTTGAGTTTACGCAGGGCTTAACACATGGCCCGCGGATAGGATCCGTTGAACATGGCTTCCACTGGGAACACATTCCACAATGGCGAGGTGTCTCCCAGGTGGGGGGGTGAGCATTGAAAGACGCAAGCAGACGGGCTGGCTGAAGCAGATGAGTACAGGGTGTCGGCTTTTCTAACCCCCAGGGAAGAGGTGCCGGGAGCACCGGGGCATTGTGGGAAGTGCTGGCTGCTTAGCCTTGTGGGCAGAGCCTGAGAAGTGCTGACTGGCTCACACTGGCCACGTTTGGGTCCAGCACCACGGTTTAAGGTTTCATCTTTGTATTCATGCCCGTCAGTGTGAAAGAAGCTGTTTGCATATATATTTGCATGTGTATATGCAACCACACTTAAATTGTGGCCCTCGGCATGTGCTGTGGATATTGTGGCCCCCGGGGCTTCCAAAGTTGAGTAGCCCTGGTCTAAGGGATTTAGATTAATTGTACTGAAAGGTGTATGTAAATCCCCTATTCTGCTTTGAGAGTCTCAGCCTATATTTATATTGAGCTTAGTAAAAGGATCCAGTCTTACTGTTCATTACTGTTTTGTCTGACAGTCTGTAGATTAAGGTGTGCAGGTTTTAGTGTGCGGCAGAATTACTTTGTGACCTTGGGCTGACTCACTTAACTTTCTTCTGCCTTATTTCACCTTCTTCTTGAATTGAGTATCAAGGACATATTGTGAGGTTTTAATAAATCATTGTGTACAAGCACTCTATTTCTATAGTGCTTCTATCAGATATCTTGGTGGTGGTGGTGGTGCTAAAATGTTGTCAATTTTAGTGGGAAAAGACCTGATGAAAAGTGCTGGCGTAGTCTTATAAAGATCTTCCTCACAGTCTACAATGAGTTACTCAACCTGCCTGCTCTACTATACTAAGTCTTTCTGTCTTTTAATCTCACAGCTCACAGCAGATCAGAATCTCAAGTTTATTGAACCATTCTGCAAAATTGCTGCCAAATCTAAGGAGTAAGTTTGATGGATGAATATTGGATTTTCCATTTTATTTAATTATTTAGTCTTAAGTCTATGAAGTTCTTGAAATGCCATTTCAAGAGGTAATAAACAAATGGATTGAAGCAAAGAACATAACGAAGTTTAGATCCTAGAGAAAGAAGCATATGGACAAACCTTTGTGACTACCTTAATCATAAATGAAGTGGGTGTGTAAACATAAAAAACACCTGTACCTGTGTTTATAGAGTATCTAACACAACAGATACTTCTGGAGTACTGATTGGTATTACTGGAATATATAAAATATTAATAAATAAGCAAAATGTCTAAGCTATAACATTGGAAGAACCAAATCCCAAACTGGATAATCAGCTTGAAGTTACATGACTTGTTTAAGTTATAGATGTTCTTTCCCTCCCCCGCCCCCCAAAAAATTAGATGCCTCTCTCTACCTCTGTCTCACCATCTTCAAAGAATTTTTAAATGTAAATAGGAAGCAAAAAGAGCTTATAATGCACTATGTGTGTTCCTTATCACTCTCATCCCTTTTATATAACGCAGTCGTCACCTGATGCAGGCAGTAGCCCGGGGTATCTTTGAAGCCATTGTGGATCAGTCCCCTTTTGCCATTGAAGATCTAATGAAAGAATTGAAAACAAGCTGTGATGACCATGTTGAGCTGTCCGAAGAAGATGAAGATGAAAACAAGGAGCCATTAATGACCAAAGGTGAGGAAGAAGTGATGAAAATTAGCCTCGCCCAGATTTTAAAGAAATATGGTAGCCACTGATAGGATCCAAATATGTACCCTGTCTTTTAAAAATGCCATTCCTACTCTCAGCCGGCCTATGGCACTCAGGTGGATACAAGAACAGCAAATCTTGCTTCTGTCCAGGTGACCTAATAGCCAAAGTAACAATAGAATAATACATTATACAAATCTCAGTGCTGTTTTTATAAACCAGACTATGCGGTACCACATTTGTCTAATTATAGCAACAGCCATAGATAACCCAGGACTGTCCAAAAACTAGTACAGTAGACTTCTGATAATCCGGCACCCTTGGGACCCAGGGGTGTCAGATTATCAGATATGACGGAGTATCGGGAGGTACTCCGTTAGGGTACTGTGCCGGGACTGCCAGGATCCGCACTGCGTGGAGGGGGCGCGGGGAGGGGCGAGCCCTCTGCCGTGTTGTGGGGAGGGGGTGGAAGCCCCGCGCAGCCAGCTTGCAAGCGGCGGAGGAGAGGAGGCGAGAGACAGACAGCTGTTTAAGGCTGGCGGGGAACAGTGCAGCGAGGGGCGAACTCTCCACTGTGTTGCGGGGAGGTGGTGGAAGCCCCACGCAGTCGGCTTGCAAGTGGCGGCAGCAGAGAGGGGGCAAGAGGCAGGCAGCTGCTTCAAGAAGTTGTTAGTCAATTACACTACCAGACCAGGTGGTACTGTAATTGACTAAACTTCTTGAAGAAGCTGCCTGCCTCTTGCCCCATCTCTGCCCCCTGCCGCTTACAGGCTTTGCCTCCCTGCAAAACGG